AATTAGGTAAGTGGTTACAACATTAGATACATGTGTTCTCTGAGTGGATCTGATAGCAGAATTAGGTTTTTAGTGTCAGAGTTTGATTCTGTTAAAAATTATCGCTTCCTGAATATCACTTAGAAACATGAAATTCTGTTCTCGTGCTCATGCAACTCCTTTATCTTCAGAACCTAGTACAAATGAGAATAACATTTGAAGTGTAATTTCATGCATTATAATACTAAAATAGGAGTAAAAAGGACAAGATATTTTACTCTGCTCAGGTAATAAGTGAGGGGAAAGGTGAGATCCTGTACCACTGAATGGAGGAAGACAAAGAGGAGAGCCATTAAAATGGTATCGTTCTGTCCCATGTTGGGCTGAACCTTAACCCAAAAGCAGCCACTCTGCATGGCGTGCTGCCATCCTGCACCTCTGGAAATATCCCTGGAGAAGCTCCAAGCCCCAGCTACCAACACAGGCTGGAGTGTGAGCCTGAGCCCTGAGTTGACTTTCAGCATTGTTTTCTTTGTTTTATTTTTTGCTTATCACTGCAGGAAGGCAGGTGGGTTTTTGGGTTTGGTTTTTTTTTTTGGCAGGGGCTTAATTTCTGTGTGATCCCCAACTGATTTTTTTGTGGGTCAATGGCCCCTGACCAAAAATGGTTCCTTACTCTCGCCTCACACCATATTTAAGAAAAAAACCAGTACTTCTTGAATAATTTTTTGTTCTCCAAGACAGAAAGCCTGTAAACACCAACAAAGGCCTAAATATATAGAAGAGGAGCTGCAGATACAACTACAACGTCTGTGTAGTAATCAGAGAAATAAACTCATATGAGATCCTGCGACTATTTAATGATTTGTTGAAAATTATGTCAAGACCAAAAATTACACAGAGCGTAATCCAATTAAATTCATTGTGAATACCAGGAATGAAGATGCTACAGGTACTGACATCTTAGCCCTCAAAGGGCTTTTTGCCAATGCCATTTGCTTGATTAAATATTACTAAATATTACCAAATCACTTTTCATCCTTGCATTTTTGAACAAACATCAGGTGTTTACACAGCATCTCTTTTTAAAAATACATAGGGTTATCATAAAATTACTTAGGAATGCTACACAATATCTGAGAAATAGGTATTTCTCAAAGTTACATGCCGGAGTTGATTTAGGTGTATTTCACAAGAAATCAAAAAGTAGTTGTCCCCCAAGTGGGATACATTACTTGTTAATACAACTGTTGAAATCACTGAAAGAAAGAAAGAAAGAAAGAAAGAAAGAAAGAAAGAAAGAAAGAAAGAAAGAAAGAAAGAAAGAAAGAAAGAAAGAAAGAAAGAAAGAAAGAAAGAAAGAAAGAAAGAAAGAAAGAAAGAAAGAAAGAAAGAAAGAAAGAAAGATTAAAAACTAGAAAACAGATTTTGATTTCATTGAGGTCTGGGGGAGAGGAGGGAAATCACACCAATATGGAGGCAATGGATAGTTTGTCCTTTTACATCTCTTACTACAGAGCCCAGAAAAATGGGGAGGATAAGGGAAATGCCGATGCAATCTTAACTAGAAGTGCTAGCGGATGCCGTTAAATGGGATACAGACAAAACAAACAGAATAAACTGAAGTGTGTTTGTATTTCTTTTTGTTAGTTAGCTGCTGTAAATAGTTTGTTTTCCAGGGATAATAAAAGGTGTTTTGTGTAAGTTGCATGTGTTTGTGTTAGTTTTACCCTTGAACATCTGGTGGGTCTGATAAAGGGGTAAGAGTTAATGAAATCACACACTAAATGACGTGAATGAGGTCCTTCTTTATTCTGAAATTGCAGGACAAACTGAAGTCTACATTTTTTTCAGATATTAAATTAACTAATGAATGGCATAGGTGAGGAGTGATCTAGAAACACTTGGTAAGAATGGAAGATGAAGATATTTTTAGATTATTATGGAAGTGTTGTATAATAATGACAGCTTCCTCACACACTTGGAAATCACTGTTGTACAAGAAATAAGGCAAGAAGTTCATTTGGACATGATATTCTCTTGCCTACCAGGATGCAACCTAGCAGCAGCCTTTTTCAGCTGTAGAAAAGCAGTAGCTCTCACTCCTGCCAAAGAGAAGTCATATATATCGTTTTTAAAACTCTCAGTAGATCAAGTGACTATTTTGCAGGATATATTAAAGTCAGTTTTCGCATCCCTCTTTTCTTCATTCAGTAGCTTGTGTTCAAGAGAAGAATTTCTATGGGATGTATTTGATTGACAGCCAAAGGTTTAAAAACTCTTTTAGCTGAGCTGAGGCCCAGTAATAAAATATACTGGGTCTGGTTCTCTTCTCATTCACACTAGCAGGGTTTACTGATTTGCACCCAAATGAGCAGGGGAGAAAAAGGCTGATTAGTTTTAAGTCCTATAATAAAAAGTTATGTTTGTCTGGTATTATCAGGCAAAGACAAAAACCTGTTGTGTGTTGAAATTGCTGGCAGATGGCAGTGTTGGGAGCCACTGCCTTAGCTGTGTGCAGCCATAGGATAGAGCAGATGGGGAGCTGCCTTCACAGTTTATAAAATTCTATTCCAAATGTGCCAATGTTTTGGCCCTACACAGGTTTTAAAAAAAAAAGCCCTTGATTGACTTATTTTCAAGTTTGGCTATTTTAACTCATTAGATTTTGATGGCTACATGCATTCAGGTTTACTGCTCTTGAAGTAGTATGAGATGTAATCTTATGCCAGAAACAAAATAAGACTGTTACAATTCTACCACGCCTCTCTAATTTTGTTGGCCTCTTTAGTGACTATACTATGCATTTACAGAGAAATGAACAATTCCATTAAATTGTTTTTTCCCCCATCTCTAATTGCTGTGATTTATGCAATACATGAGTGGATCTGGGACTACCATGAAAAAAACCTGGAATTAGAAATTAATGGATACCTACTCTAAAGAAAGGGCTGAAAAACTAACTTCAACTCCTTTCTCTACTATTCATCAAAGCTTAGATCATCTATTTCTACATAAAAACTTGTGGACAAGGAAAATGCACTTTCAAAAGCAAGTGTGGTTTGCCTTAGCTGCTTGCCTACCACAACATTCCTCAGTTAGGCT